CGAATACAGGGCGATTGTGGGAGCTCTGCCGGAGTTCAGGAGGAACTCTGGAGGCAGGGAAACATGAAGTACGCGTCACCTTATCCTTTTCCCATATGCATTACAGGTTACGCCCTTCTATTGGACTGCCTGTGTGATTGTATGATATACTGCTTGTACTTTTTTCAGGATTAAGATAATCAGAAGAGGAAAATGATATGTGATTGGTATAAGAATCCTGCCTGGTGAAAAGGAAGGAACATAAAGTAACCAAGAAGGAACCTAGGTTGTTTGGGCTTGAAGAACAAAGGTAGGGCGATGGAGGCTCATGTGTGAGCCGTCGTGCTACTTGTGTATGCTCTGACGTCACTAAGGATGGATAATTAGGTACTCACGTATGAGTCACCTTGCCCTTTGTCTGTTCGACTGTCGTCGTAACAGGAAGGGGGTCCTAATGATAATCTATAAATTAATCTAAGTACTCTCTACCTGAGCGGCTGTCGTCGTGAGGCGACGAGGGTACAAACAAAATACTTATAAAACTGATCTGAGTACTCTCTACCTGAGTGGCTGTCGTCGTGAGGGGACGAGGGTACAAACAATTACTTATGAACTAATCTAAGAGCTCTCTACCGGAACGACTGTCGTCGTGATGGGACGAGGGTACACATAAATACTTGTGAACTAATTCAAGTACTCCTAACCAGATCGGTTGTTGTCGTGATGGGAAATGGGGTACTAACAATAGCGTGTAAACTAAAGCAGGTACCCTCGACCGTAACGGTTGTCGTCGTGACGGGAAGGGGATATCTGACTATAACTTATGAACTAGATTTGGTACTCTCTACCTGAGCGGCTGTCGTCGTGAGGGAACGAGGGTACAAACGAATACTCACTGACTAATCTTAAGTACTCTCTACCGGATCGGTTGTCGTGGTGATGGGACGGGGGTACGAACAAATACTTTTGAACTAATCTAAGTACACTCTACCGGATCGGTTGTCGTCGTGATGGGACGAGGGTACCAACAAATACTTATAAACTGATCTAAGTACATTCTACCGGATCGGCTGTTGTCGGGATGGGACGAGGGTACAAGCAACTACTTATGAACTAAAATAGGTACTCTCTACTAGATCGACTGTCGTCGAGACGGGAGAGGGGTTCGGACACTGACTATGAGCTAACTTAGGCACTCATGTATGAGTTATCTCACTACCTTACCAGATCGGTTGTCGTCGTGACGGGAAAGAATGTCTAACATTAACTTATGAAGTAAACTAGGTACTCATGTGTGAGTTATCTTACTCCCTACCGGATCGACTGTCGTCGTGTCTGGAAAAACGGGCCAGACACTTAGAAAATAATAAAGGGAAGGCTCCTGGGAGGGTCATCCTATTCACACGCTTAAAGTCGAAGGCTGACTAACGACCATCTGGAGGTAGTAAACCACGTTGTTTCTCTTTCTTCATTAACTTATTTACCTTCTGACAGTCCGACCACCAAACCGGTAGAGGGGAGGCTTCTGTAGGAGTCAACCTATTACTTGGTTAATGGCTGGACTACTTATTACCCAAGGAAAGTACTAGAGGGGTCTCTGTTGGGGTCTGTCTCTTACCTACTTGATTATGTACTAACTCTCTAAGAGGGTACTCCTGTAGGAATATCCTAAGCACTCGTCTTCTGTCCAAAACTAACCCGGTCAGGACGGTCAGCTTCAGAAAAGCAACAGGATACCCTTGTGAGGATTATCCTATTGCACTCATAAAGAGGATCTGGTCACGTGATAGAAGGGGGTTGTTGTGCGGGTTGCCTATTATTGACGCAGACCATTATTAACCCTGGGAAAGGACTGACATCCACATCTTCCAGGAGTATACCTAAAGCAAGTAGTAGGGTGCTTCTGTAGGAGTCTCAACTCATTGTTGAAGAAAGGATGCTCATGTGTGAGTTGTCCTGCTACTCTGATTAGATCAAGTGGGGCTAAAAAGGGAGATCAATACTCATATACGGCTTACTCGACTCTCTGTTCGACTAACAGATTTGCTTGGTATTGGCCAAGTAGCAAAAGATTCATGTCTAAATCAATCTGCTACTTGAGTATGTCAGAACAAGTTGAAGAGAAAGGAAAAAACAATGCTCCTGTTGGAGTAAAGTCTTTACGTATCCGGAAAAGGAACAAGGAAAGAATATAGGACCGCGGGAGAAAGAAACTTAAGAATTGCCTCGCAGTCTATAGTTGTCCATAGCTTTCGGATGGAAGGCCACGATGATGAAAGAGTTATATCTCGTCTACATAAGCGTCAAAATGGTGCGCTTATTTCCAAGAGAGAGTGGAAGGACTTAAAGTAGGGTAAAACTTGAGTTTCCCTAGAGACGACTTAGGACACAGGCATGAGACTCCTTGAAAGAGAGGAGAGAGTGACAAACGGCTTAGGGTAGGGTTGTGAGAGTAAGACTAGGGATTAGGCCTGGGGTGTCGATCCCAGAGCTCACTACCCATGTCTAAGGGCTTTACCCTTAGATGTCAATATGTGGGAATCAAGTGGGAGTGTTGAATCTTTCTTGACCTGTGTGTGTGCAGGTCCCTGTTTATCTACTTCATTTCAAGGAAGAGGTTCTACAGAAAAGGACCCAAATTTTTGTTATCTATCGATAACAAGTCGGTTGTTAACGATTCAACTTTCTCCTTTGACTTGATACCCACCTCTAAAGTCAAACTATGTGATCAGTAAAACTGTCACCTGTGGTCATTGCCTAAATGGTCCTAGTCACTCTCAAGGGTCCTTTGTAGAAGTGTGAGGGGGTTGGGGTTACGTCTTTGGAAAGACAAGGCTGTCATACATGGTTTGGGAAGTAAGGGACTTGGTCAATGGTTGGTGGTTGACTCCGTTAGTGCATGGCATGTGAACTGTCTTTGCATTATTCTGTGCAGGTCTGTTTTTGTGCGTGATTTTGGATTGAACTGGACCTGATCTGTTGAAGAGTCTCGGACACACAACACTTGTGAAAGAGGGAAGGGTTCTTGGTGGTAATACTTCTATATTCATCATATGTCCAACTTAGTTATTCTGATGTTCAGTTAAGTCATAACTTGTTAAGAAAGGTAGGACGCTCTTTGGTAGAGAGAAGGTTTGAGTGGTATTGGTCAAAGAGAATAATACATTACGCAGTAGCGGAAATATACTGCCTTATTAAAAGTTCGACCTGAATATCTAACGGGTCAGTTTTAGGCGTCTTACCGCGCGTACCCCATTTTATGCTACAGCGATCGAGCAAACGCCCTCGGTCGACCTACCTCTACAAAGACATGTAAAAGCCTTTGCACGTGGGTCAGTAGCTAAGCAGGTATTCGCCTACCTGAGGGTGGTGACAGCCCCTTGGGTAGAGGTAAGTTGAACCTCACGGCTCCCCGACCTGTCGTGGGTTGTCGTGAGAGGTATAGCACGAGCGCACGGTTGGAGTGGTGACTGGTTATTCCTCAAGAATATATCCTGCGTAACACGACCGTGAGGTTCTGTGCTCCCGATAGGGTGCAAGACCACCGCGCGCGACAGGTGGCGCCGTTGTTGGGGATCTCGCTTCTTAGCCGAGGTCCTCAGTGAACGAACTCGGGTAAGGCAAGATCCTGGCAAAACGACAATTATCGAAGTCAAAATTGACTAAGAAGCTAAGCGGAATAAGGTGACTCGAGTTGTTAGTAACAAGTAGTCAATAAATCAGTGTGTAGGTTATAGGTTAATTAATACATAGGTACGATTACCTGGCTTATAGTAAAAGTTAACGAATATGGCACCTAAAGGTTGTGGGACCGGTACTTGTAGAGGAAGAGGCGGCAGACAGGGGAAGGCACCTGAAAGGCCTATAGATTTGACAAAAAAATGGGAAAACTGGAAAGAAGATGATGAAGAGTCAGAAGAGAAGGAGGAAGGGTTGAGGGCGAGAAGGTATCGGGAGGAAAGGCGCATGCATACTCCAAACCCTGAGTAAATGGCTTTTTACTCGTATAGGTACGCAAGGCGTTACGGAGAGTCTCCGCCACGCTTCGAGCCGCCTAGCCGCTCGCATCATAGCCCTTACCAGCTGTCTCAAGAGCGGCATTTGACTGTCCTTCCCCAGCCTCACCAACAAGGACCCTAAGCAACACCTCGCGTACCTGACCCTCCTGTAGTCGCGCAGTCTGCGTCTCCTGATAGGAGGATGTGCATATCACTCTTAATGTTTATATTATGTCAAATAGAGATCTGCGGGTTGTATAAAAAGATTAGATAAGGATCTAAAACGATTGGATAAGGTGGCGAAATAAGATAAGGGGGGAAAAACTAATTAAGTCATAGGCTGAAATCTGCTAGCTAAGTGAAAGAAACATGGGCTAGATTGTGTTGTGTAATAGGTAGAGTGTATCGACAAAGAGAGGATGGCGTCTGCCCGATATCAAACCACGATCAGAGAGCCCGCAGTGAAGAGGCGAGGCCTAATGATGAATCTACCAAATTTGTCATGAGGAAAATGAGGAGACAGGGTATTGTTGGGGAATGTCTATGAGGGAGCGAACTTTCATATGAATTGAGTATGGATGGGTTAGGGGCGAGAACTGTGTGATAGAGAGGGTTACTTTGGGTATCGCATCTGAGAACTTGCGGGCTAATCTCGTATTTGATATATATATATACTAGGTTGTTGGATCGGACGTTCGGGACCCCCTTGACCGTCCGGGATGTTCGACCGGACGTCTGGTCGGACGTCCGACCGGACAGGGGTTGTCCGACCTAGCGCAAAAAAAAAAAAAAAAAAAAAAAAAAAAAAAAAAAAAAATCTTCGAAAAATCTAAAAACAATATATGTTATGTAACATAACAATACAAGCAACTTTTGCCTTGGAGTCATGTTCAAATTCGCAGTCAATCATGAGTAAAAATCAAAAACCGAAAAACAATATTTATTTTTTTTACGGAATTTTTTTTTTTTTTTTCCCGGACGACGGGGGTACCGGACGTATGGGGAGACGTCCGGGGGAGACGACCGGCCCCCGGACCATTGGTAACCTAGTATATATATATATATATATATGGATCATCTAAAGAAGGGGAGTAAGATAGGGTGAAAACAGGGATTTCTCTCATCACTAACTTAAGGAGAGACGTGAGGAGAATCCAACTAAGTTAAATTAAGAAAAGGTAATTTGGACCCTCATGATCTTTACTGGGATCAGCTCGAGAGGAGCTAAAAGATAAAAGGAGGTATGCCAGAAAAACTGCGGGGAAAGAGTGTCTATCTTTAAGTCAGGCTATTCCATAATAAGGGCACCCAAAGATTAGGGGTTGAAGCAGTACATTAAATAAATCGTCCTTTGGCTTACCCTTGTGACAGGTCTTCGGGATTTGATCAAGATGCCTTATGAAGAGCAAGTGTCCAAGGTCGAGGCACCAGTTAGGAATGCTGATGGGCTAGAAATGACAGTTCCGAAAGGAAGAAGCGGAGCAGAGCTTAGTGAGTCATGGTGGGGCAGCTCGTTAGGAAGCGAGGCATTTATGTGGGTAGAAACGAGTTGGAATGTGAGGGAGGAATGGCGTGGTGTGAGAGTCACCATCTACCTGGCTGCGATTCTCTGGCGTGATTATGAATCAAATTTCGATCAAGGGTTGGAAGACTATCTGCTGTTACTCACAGGGATGGCAGAAGTAAGGCTCAGAGTTTGGGAGAGGGAAGGTCCATGGATAGACACAAGAGAAGTTATGAAGGAAATCAAAATGCTTCCGGCCAAAGATTTTACTCTTCCGGTCCGTTACGTTAGAACCACGCTCCCGGATTTTATGGTCGAAGAGGTGTTTTTTGGTCAAGAAAGGTTAGAGATGGTCACTAAAGCGGCACTGAGAGTACCTAATAGGGGGTATGATTTTTTCACCCCTCACATGATTTACTACCTATACCTAGAAATGGACTCCGAACTCACCAACAGTGATTTTAGCAACATTCTGTCTATCGTAAACGCGTATGCTAGAGTTTATTTCATGGAAGAGCGATTTGGTTACTGGGAGAAATTGAAGGAGGAAGTGCGGTCTGGAATCTACATGGATGACATTCCCATCATGTTTGGGTTAGTCTACAACTTCTGGTCTGAGGACTGGGTGACGGTAGAAGAAATGGAAGAGGAAGAGAGGGTTTATATTCTAAAAGGTTAATGGGATGAGGCACAGAGGCATAAGAGGAAGGGGGTGAAAGAATACGTTGCTTATGTGAATTACTAAGGGATGAAGGGAGAAAAGTGGGATGAAGAAGGGAAAAAGATGAGGAGACAAAGGACATGACTCCAACAGGATTAAGAAAAAGAGGAGATATTTTAATTACGATGTAAGGGGGAATGACACGACTAGGTAGGACTTATGCGTGAGTATTGTGTGCCTTTTTGTTTTTCTTCTGCGCTTCACAGGCCGCCAGGAAATCACTCAAGATGTCGTACGCTACTCAGGGAATTGGGATTGAGCTGCCCATCCGTACCAGGCTGGGATTAAGGATGTCATTGCCCCAGGGGCTAAGCGTGAGAGAAGAGGAAATCACCTCATGGTGAGGAGCCCCGATTGGGCCAGAAGCATTTGTATGGGTAGAAGTTGGACACACCCTGGACCGAGAGAGTATAATAGTTCGAGCAACCTTTTACCTCTCATCGGACTTATGGAGAATGCACGGCGTGGACTTGGCAATAGGACATAGTCAGCCATTATCCAGGTACATCCTGACTACATGAGCGATCCTCGAGGACAAGATTAGAGAGGAAAGGTGGGGGGAATTCCGACCGATTATACCAATGATAGAAGCAAGATGGGCGTCGGACTTTGTCTACCCCACCAACTACGTAAAGGCTGCCCTCGCGGACTTCATCATTAATGAAATCTTTCACAGCCCTGCTAATGTAGAACAAGCGGCCCTGGCCGCCGTAGTCGTGCCTCTGGGGAGATGCGAATTTTTTACGCCCCAAATTCGTTATTGCCTGTACTTGAAGATGGGGCCAGAATTGGGTGACAAAGATTTTGAGGAAGTCCTGTCCACGGTAGATGCGTATGTTCGTGTCCACCGTATGGAACCAAGGCAAACTTACTGGAAGAAGCTTAAGGCCGAAATGAAGATCAGGGCTTGCATTTTTGGTATACCTATAATGTTTGGAATGGGTATGATTCCTGGACGAGGGATTGGTTGATTGCGGAAGAAATTGGAAGGGTAAATTGGTGAGCAAATCTGGAAGCTGAAAAGAAGAATCGTGACCGTTTTTGCCATATCAGTCATCTCATTAGACAGTAGGAATAGTAACTAAGGCTCGCATAAATGAGGGAATTAGTGTATACCAGTTGATGTCAAGGGGGGAGGATAAGATGAGAGTAAAAAGGAGGGAAAGTGTAAGAGAGTTAGAGTCAAGGGCTAGATAGGGTTTTGTTAGCACCTTGGGAAGGGTAAAAACACCCAAGGCCAAAACTAAAAAGAAAAGTAAGAAAACTGAGAGGCAATCTAAAAATTCGTCGTCTCTGCATGTGTATGACAGATTGACTGAGGAATGTGGAAGATGGGAGATGCCAATGGAGGACAGGGGTCCATTACGGCCGCGGAGATCGTGCGGCTACTGGAAAGTAGGGCAATCAAAAGGTCACAACTGCCAAAAATAGAGATATTCTCTTTTCAAGGAGAGCGGGTATCCCACTGGTTAGAACTTCTGGAACAGGTTTTCAATCGGCTAGAAGGGGATGCAGCGAAAGTATAAATTGGGTGATGGGTTGTTGACAGTCGATCACCTGCACAATTTGAATAGAAACGACTTCACTACGATTAGAGCTTTCGCCACAGCCTTTGAAAAGATGGCAGAAAGAGTCCCTGGGCTTTCCGAGGAAATGCAATGTGTCATTTTCTTGGGAAAATTCTCAGGATATGAGGCGATGGAATTAACGCGGGGAGGTGCGCCTGGGAAAAAAACATCCTGGGAGACAATAAAAAGAAATTTGGCATCCGATGACTTGGACCAAGTGTTTCATCATCAGGTGAAAATGGAAAAAAGGAAAAGGAAGGAGGTGAGTGCAATTCAGGGGGCGGATTTAGCCTTAGGAGGGGTCTTGAGTAGTATGGCGGCTCAACTCAAGGAGATGAAGGAGCAAATGGCGCCAGGGAAGGTGATGGCGGTTGGTCAAGCAACAAACAAAAAGAGGTATGGAGAAGAAGATGAAGGAGATAAGGAAGAAGAGGAAGAAGAGCCGGAACAAACCACCAAGGCTAAAACGACCCAGAAAAAGATCAAGAATCAATCAACGGGGAAACAAGGAACTGGCAAGGGGCAGAATCCTCAACACGCTGGGACGTCAGAAGCACAGACTCCCGCAACCCATCTCACACCATGGCCGGTTGTGGCTCCTATGGGTGCGTGGCCCGGATTTTTTCCAGGAAGTCAGTGGTCGGGGTTTGGTCAAATGAGCCTGTATCCGAATCTGCCCCAAGTGCAAGGAGGAGCGACAGGCAGAAAACAGCCTCAGCAAGCGCAACAGGCACACGGTAATCAGAACCAAAATCAGTTCCAAGGAGAAGGACACGGGCAAGGACATAGTAGAGGTAGGAACGGAGGAAGAGGAAATGATCAAGGAGGAAGAGGGAATGTCCAAGGTGGAAGAGGATTTGGAGGAAGAGGACATGGCGGACGAGGAGATTGGGGCAATCAAGGAGGCCCTTAGTCGGGAAACTATAATCAGATGAACTTTAACCAAGTCGGTCAGGGGTATAACCAAGGATATGGTCAGGGATATGGTCGAGACTATAATCAAGGCTATGGCCGAGGGTTTGGTAGGAGTAACGGACAGTGGAATGGTCAGGGATTCAGACGAGGTTGGGTAGATTATAGTGAATGTATTTCTACCCATTGTCAAATCAAAGGTCATACAGTGAAAAGATGCCATGTTAGAAAGATGGACGAGCTGGATGGGATAATTACGTCCAGCATGGATGGGGATGTGTACGATAAGCGGGGCACTCTCATTGACCAAAAAATCCCTTGAGGTACGAGGAAGGAGGCACTCAGGTTTGCAGGGCTAGGACCCAGTGCCCCCGCCATGTTCCGAATATGGCAAGAAAAGGAGGATCCGTTTATCAAAGTCGAAAATGTGACTGAGATTGGGGAACAATTAAAGAAAGGACTAAAAATAGACCAGGAAGAGAAGGATGCCCCATTGATTGAGCTTGAACCGGGAGAAGGAGAAGCAAGTGGAGAGCCAATAAAAGACACCATGAAAAGGATGGAGGACCTAATAGCTAAGATAGGAAGGCTAAACACCAGAATGTTGGGAATATGTGAAAAAGTCAAAGTGATGGAGCTGGAAGCTCCGCACGTATTTACGATGAATCAAGGAAGTGAAGGAGAGAGACCACGAGAACCAAATCAAGGGCACTAAGGGTTAGCTTGGCTACAGGATCTGAAGCGGCTTACGAAGCCCTTAGAAATTTTGTGCCATATACCGCTCGCCGAGCAAAAGGCGGCAATACAACCAAGGAGCAGGAGCAGGTTCCACCTCCTCCTCCTGAGGAACCCTCTATCGATATAGGCGAGGAAGAGGAAGATCAGGATGAGCAGCTGAGGGAAGAAGAGGATAAGAAGGCCGAGCAGAGAGCCAAGAAGCGGAAGCAGGGGGGCAAGGAAGGAAAAGAGAAGGTCGGAGAAAAGTCCAAGAAAAAGTGGAAATATCAAACGTCTATCGAAGAAAGAGTAGACCTAGAAAACTTAGTGAACAAACTTCTTGATGGACATAACGAACTGTTGAACTTGAAGGAGATTTTGGCAACAGCCTAAAAACTCAGGGAGTTAGTCAAAGCGAAATTAGCAAGAAAAAGAGTGGCAACGGTAAGACTGGGGGATTTCATTCCCAAAGAAGCGGATTGGACCGTCGCCGGGAGTAAACTGGATTGGAAGTCCATAGGGACGGGTTCTATCGAAGTTAATATCACAGGAAGAGGGTGCCCCAGGATGTTAGATACCGGAGCGGAAATGAATATTATGAATTCGGAGACAGCTGAAAGGTTGAGACTAGAAGTTGATAAGAGTGACTTCGGGTACCTTAATGGGGCCAGTGGGAAATCAGGCTATACAAGTGTCGCCTCAAACGTCATCGTGGAAGTAGGGCGGATTAAAATCCGTTCCTGCTTCTATATCATGCCTAGTCTGGATGTTCCCATATTATTGGGAAGGTCCTTCCTGTCAAGGTCAGAAGCACTCCTCACAAATAAGCATGATGGAACTATGTAAGCGATTTTGTGCGACCCAGTATGTAAGAATTTCGAGGTACTCACATGTGCGAACACGGGACCTCACTGTTCAAAGAACCGTCTCAATGCGGGATCCTACACGTTTGAAGAATCAGAGGACAGGCGAAGGGAATTAGAGTGGGGATCAGGCGAGGATGAGGAAGATGAATGAGATGAGGAACTGGTTCTGAGTTTGGCTAATATAGACCAAGCGATGTGCATGGTCTCAGCCTATAAGATGGCCGACCAAGAAGCCATCATGGCCTTGGCCGACAGACTAGGCGAGTATCCTGAAGGAGGGAGAATGAAATTGGTGTATAGGCCACCACCGCGAGATGTAAAGATGCAGGGACCTTATGCCCAATCAAGCGGTCATCATTTTTTAGGGGCGGACTCAAGCAAGGAGGCAAAAGGAGGTACAAGACAGTAAATAAGAAAAAACATCCGGTCCCAGTACTAGTAACGCACGAAGAGAGTGTGTATTATGAGCAAGAGAGAGAGCTGATAAGGCAAATGAAAGAAAAATGAGATGAAGAGGCATGTCGTATCAATGAGGAGACGGAAAAGGACCTGATTATCGGGAAAACCGGGTTTCTGACTGAGCAAGAAAGAGCATTGGTGATAGGATTAATGAGGGAGAAACATTGTGTCTATGCCTTTAATGATGATCAGAGAGGGAGGTTAGATGTGGACAAGGTAGGGATGATCAGGATCCATACGGTCCCGCATCATCCTCGGAATATTAGAGGAGCGAGGTACCTGAATCCTGATGATCAGAGGAGAGAGACTGACTCACACGTGGTAGGGTTTTCTAGTGGGCCATATGCTTCACCATGGTTCTGCTTTATTAAGCCAAACATGGTGCTTAGATGGGTACAGGACTTGCAAAGATTGAATACGGTGACTGTTAGGGATGTTGGAGGGCTCCCTAATGCTGATCAGCTCTCCGAAGCATGTGCTGGAAGATCTATCATTTCTCTTATTGACCTCTACTCTGGATATGATAAATTTCCTGTCTACCTGGCATATAGGCCGATAACTGCAATGCACACTCCTAGAGGATTGATCCACATGAATGTAGCACATGAGGGGTGGACAAATGCGGTAGCCATGGTTCAAAGGAGTATGGTCAGAGTTATGCAGCCGGTCAGTCCACAAATCACAGAATCCTATATCGATGACTTAGCGGTGAAGGGACCAATGATGAAAGATGAACAATAAGTTGCTCCTGACATTCGAAAGTTCGTCTGGGATCATGTCAATGATCTCAGGAAGGTGCTCAATCTTCTGCAGGAGCACAACCTCACGACGAGTGGTGCGAAATCGAGACACTGCATGAGGGAGGCGACAATTCTTGGGTTTGTGTGTAATGAGCAAGGTCGCCGTCCAGATACCAAGAAAACCAACAAAATTCCTGAGTGGCCGACACCATTCAAAAATATAGAAGAGGTGAGGTGTTTTCTTGGGACTTGTGGGTTCTGGAGGATATTCATCAAGGGGGTGGTTGCAAAGACTGAGCATGTGAGGAAATTGGTAAGAAAGAATCAGGAATGGGAATGGGGAGAAAAGCAGGAGCAGGTGGTAAAGGATTTAAAGAATGAATTTGAGGAAGGAGGTCTGGTACTGGGGGTTTCCGGACTATGAGGCGATCTTAGAACGCCCCTTCATAATAAAAACTGATGTCGGACCCACTGCCTTGGGAGGAGTCTTGATACAGGCGGATCATGAGGGAAAGGAAAAACCGCAACGCTTTGAGAGTCGAACTCTCAATTCAACTAAAAGGAATTACTCCCAATTCAAGAAGGAGGGCTCGGCAGTATTACACTGCCTACGGATCTTCGGACATTATCTCTTTGGGAGAAGATTCATTCTAAGAGTAGATCCGACGGCCCTCATGTATTCCCTTAGAAACTTCTCTCCAACTGATTCTACAGTTGTTAGATGACTCACCTACATCTGGATGTTTGATTTTCAGTTGAAGCGCATTCCAGGGAACAAGAACAGAGCAGATGGATTGAGCAGGATAGAATGGGAGAAACCTGAAGAAGCTAAGGAAGAGACACCGCCAGTAGATAGGTTCTTGGAAGAGGATGACATGCAACTTCACGTCAATGCGTGGGCCTTGAGAGTCGAGGATGATGGGGTGCGAGAGGAAAGACTTATGTGGTTTGCAACAACGACCTTTGTGAAGGATGAAAGGTTAGTATTGAAGCCTTTCGTCGAAGAGGACTCGTGGGGAGAAAGGAATGGGGAATGAATGGCAGAGTTAGCCTTGGCTGAGAGTTACAGATTGACGGAGGAACTAGTCACAATCGAGGCAGAAGCAGGACAGGTGGATCGGCATTTATTGACAGTAGGGAGAGTGCATTACCTTGTGAACTTCCTCTTACAAGTCCGGAACGAAGAAGAAAGAGGAACGATAAAGGCGGATAGGATTATATTAGGGGATGACTACGAGTTTCATGAAGAAATAGAGGCAGAGGAATTTGAGCAAGAAGAAGTCTCGGAAGATTTCCGGGAAGAGGAGTACGATGGGTTCCATCTAGAAATGGGGCTTCTTCTCTCAGGCGACAAACGAGAAAGGGAAATTAGTGAAAACTTTCCGCATGAGGGACCATTATGTAGTGAGGGGTGGCCATCTCTTCATCAGGGATAAAAGAGGACCATCTAGGAGAGTTATATGTGGCAGAAATCAACAGATTGATGTCATAGCGGCCCTTTATGATGGACTTGTTGGTGGTCACAGGGGTTTTGCCGCTACCCTAAAAAAAATGACTGAACTCTACTTTTGGGAAGGTATGTACGGGATGGTTAGAAAGTATTGTGAGTCATGCGTGTCATGCCAGGTCAAATCGTCGATCAGGTATAAAGAGTCTCTTCACCCGAGGTATATCAAGGAAGTGAGAGTTGTTGTCCACTTGGATTTGTTAGCAACTTCGCTGGGGCTTGGCGGGTATAATTACATCCTTGATGTCAGAGACAACCTCACGGGATTTGTTAATGGAAAGGCCATCCGGACCAAGACTGGGGCAGTCTTGGCCGAATGCATCAAAGAATATTACCTTCATTATCCTTTCGTGGTGGAATTCACAATGGATAGAGGGTCGGAGTTCACATGTGGGGAGGTTAAAGAGTTATTGGATGATCTCGGAGTAATCACCAAGTACACCACCAGGGCCCATCCTCAGGCTAACGCACCGGTAGAGAGAGGGCGCAGCACCATCATGAACTTAATGGCAAAATTGACAGCAGGGAAACCAAACTTGTGGCCTAAGTTCTTACGGATAGTATTCTTCGTCGAAAACATCACGGTTAGGAGAACCACGGGGTATGCTCCTGCGACCTTATGGTATGGGAGACACGCCACCTTTCCAATAGAAACCTTCCTGAAAACCTGGCGGAGACAGGAGGTTGAAAACGACCTGCCACTTGAGGAGTTACTCGACATCCGAGTCAAACAGGTCAGTGTCACAGAGGAAAGGGTTTAGGAAGCAGCCAAGAAAGTGGCTGACAGTCGGCGAAAAGACAAGGAAAGATGAGACCGGCTTCCTCGCGTACGAACTGAAACATTGGCAGTTGGGGACGTGGTACTGTTGTATGACTCATCCCTGGAGAAACAATGGTCAAGGAAGCTGGATAAGAGATGGTTGGGGCCGTATAAGGTTCGACGTCAAGGGAATCATGGGGCATATGAGCTGGAGGAAATGGATGGAACGCCGAGGGAAGATTGGGTTTCTGGATCCCGGTTGAAGAAACTCAGGACAAGAGATGAGGTGAGTCAATAACCTAAAGATAAGTCAATTCAATCCTCCTCAAAACCTCTTGTGATTGCAAAATTTGCGAACTTCATATTGTTACCCGACCGCTGACACCCTGTTGCACCTGCCACTTTCCTCGTTCTTTTTCTGTGTGCAGGCTTAATCCTGTAAAAGGAGCGACGATGACATGGAAGGGAGGGGTAGCGGGGCCTTCCAGGTCAGCTTCTGGTAAGGAACGGCGACAGGGATTACGGCGATTAACCAGGGACGCAGATGGAATGCCGATCTACAAGAAGGGGGACAATTTGAGGTTGTTCCTAAGAGAGTTCGAGGACTACGCATTCAAGAGAGAGTGGGACACCCCGACCATGTTGATGAAGGTGAATGGTGTGGGGGAGTGTCAGTTAAAGGTTGAGGAAATTACCACCGACTGCCTAGGATGGATGACTTTCAAGACAGAGATGTGGGTTGAGTATGGGGACTTGAGGAGAGACGAGATCGAGGATGATATCATCTTTGATGGAACGAATGTGGAGAACTTTGAGGACAGCCTCCCTCTGTGTGCTGAAAAGAAAGGGTGGAAGGAAGAGGAAAAGTTGGAGCAGGTGATGGCGAGAGTGGACCCGAGGGAATATGAGAGTATGAGGAAGATCAAGGAGGAGTCAGATACCTGGGGTGGGTTTCTTGTCAAGTTTAGAAGAACCTACACTCTGGCCGTACAGAGACAAAAGAAAAGGCAGTTACTTCAGGACCAAGGATTGTGGATGGGGAGAAGAGGAGACAGGATGGAGAGGAAAGTTCGATAGGAGATTGATGAGGATGATGTATCCCTCAAACAGGTGCTTGACAAAAAGAGGACAACAATTCAGAAGGGAGATGGATCAGCGAGAAGGACCGCAAGAGTTCAAGAAAAGAGAAGAGGCAGGAAAAAGAAGCAAAGCAAGGAAGAAGAAGAGGGAGAGAGGGAACATGACATGATGAGAGAAGAAGAAGGGAAGAAGGAAGTGGAGGGGGTAGCAAGAGCAAAAGAGGGCACAAAAGAGAAGAAGGAGAGGGAAGAAGAAGGAGAGAAGGGATCGAATATGATGAGTGGAAAAGAAGGGAAGAAGGAAGTGGAGGAGGTATCAGAGGAGAAAAGAGGCGCGAAGGAGAATGAAGAAAAGGAAGAGGAAAGGAATCAGACAGAAAAACAGACTGAAATGACAGCCTTTGAGAATCCTCTCAGGGAACAAGGATCAAAGAGAATGACCAAGGAAGAGAGGGAAAAGAGAGAGGAAGAAAATAAAGAATGGAGGAACAGAATGGTTGCATCAATGAAGGAAGGTGAATTATCTGCAGATGCCCCTTGGAGTGAGAAAATTGAGAGGATCTTGTTGATCGAATCAATCAGGGGCTCTAAGCTACGGTCAGACCTTGACAAGCTGATCCGGCTGCATGAGTTGCTTCGGGATGACTGTGAGTGGCTCCTTGAGAGGGGAGCCGAGATAGTTGAGAAATTGGAAGGAGCAGGAAGGAGCCAGAGAGGGAATGACAAGGATGGAAAGATGGAGGCCTCGATGAGAGAATTCCAAGAAAGGGTAAAAGAGAAGGAAAAATTGTTCACTCAGGGGGTAGCAAGTCACATCCCTGAAATTCTGAAAGAGATCCAGAGATTGAGAAAAAAGGAAGAAGGCAGGGATGCACAGGTGGAGAAGATAGGAAAAGAAGTGGAAAGCATGAGGGCTTAAATGAGCAAGGTAAGGGAAGAACAGCAAGAGCTTAAGAAGCAAGTGGAGTCGTTGAACATTGCCCTGGATAGTAAGAACAAGGAAGTGAAAAAAAAGAGGGTTGAACGAGAAAAGTTGGAGAAGGAAGTTGGCAAGCTGGAAGGGAAAGTCAGTAAGCAAGAAAGGGAGATAGAGTTTCTAAAAAATGTTAGTCGAGAAGAAACAGAGGCACCTACAAAAATTGTTGAGTGGAACGGCGAACTGGGGTTTGAGATCAGGAGTTTTGCAGGGGTACCTCAAGCACCAGGACAGAATTCAGAAGAAACAGTTAAAGAAGTATTGGGGCCGAGAAAAGAGAACAATGATCAGCCAACTGGCATTCCGACTTCTGCTAACAAGCTGGTTGAGCTACTGGCAACAGACACTGTTACAAAGCCATCCAATGAAGACGAATCCAGGGATAGTAAAAATAGACCTTGCTCTGAGATGGAGGAAGCAGGTGGAGAGAAGGAGATGGCATTCCCACATCATTCTGCCAAAACGCCAAGAAGTGAAGGCAGAAAAATGTGTTGGTATTGCATGAAGGGGATGCATCTGAGGGAAGAATGCCCAGGGTTTAAGTTTGATGAGGAAAAGGGTTTGGTAAAGTTAGATGAAAACAAGAAGCTCATTGACAGGGTTGGGAACGTTGTTAAGAAGGCCAAGGACGGGTTCAGGGCTCAACTGTATAGACAGTTGAACCTTAGCATGGTAGATTAAGGGGAAAGTATGTGTCTTGACCTTCTATGATTCACGCTTCTTTTTCTTAGCAAGACTTTATACACTATGGGTAGGAAGTGTAAAATAGATAGAGTCTCTCCTCTTGGGACATAGTGATGTTCTTTAGCAATAGAAAAATAGGCAACAAGTTCTGAAATCTTTGCTTTGATATAGAGTTAGCTCGGCATGTGTACTTTAGTAGGGACAGAGAGGCATGTGACTCGTACTTCATCTATCACTTTTTTTTTTTTTTTTTCAGGAGGGAGACCGTTTTTTTTGTCTTCCTTCTCTTGAGTCATATATTACTAAATTTATTTATGGGGGTATGCCGACGAGAGACACTTTTACTTTCACAATTGAGTCGGTCCAGTGTTTGGTCTTGTTTTGTGAGATGTGTATCTTGGATTTGTGTACGAACAGCACTATCAAGTCTTGAACTAGGATGCTCAGAAAAGCGCCTAAGTAAGATAGCATGAAATGTGACATGTACAATCTCAAAGTGTTTTGACATTGTTGGTCAGTTGTTTCCATGCTTTATCTTGTATGGTTATTTTTGAAAAAGATCCTGAAAATGAGGTATGAGAAAGCCAAAAATTTTGATGCGTTTAAGCAATCCTGCGAGACAAAGAGTCAAAAAAATACTTTTAAAACTTTCTTTATGGATATTTTGGTTGACTTTCATGTTGGTTGAAGATCCCCGAGACGTGTGTCTATCCAGCCTGTGATCGAGGTCTGGGAGACACGACCCCTAAGTGGCTCTGACGATGCCCCTCGTTCAGTGACAATATGACAATCATGATGTATCATTCTTATTGGTGAAATTTTTTATATATACTTGCAAAGAGGTTCATTCATCCAAACTGACGAGGGAATTTCTTTGGTCAAATTGCTTTTTATATGTATTTCAAATGATCATCGTCCATCCACTTTAGGCGATCAGTCTGAATGACTTGAAATTACCAAGGCTATGGTGGAAAATTGGCATCGTTGGGATGTAACTCCCAGCGTGGGCTGCTGACCAAGTGTAACCAGGTAGCGGGCCTTCCGATTACGGCCTAGAACTGAAACCTGAGGGGGGACCTCCTTAGTGATGGAATTAGTTCAGGTAGATATCGGCGGGATCAAGACTCAGGTCTAGAATGATAGGAGAATTATACCCGATATTGCGTAACCAATATGAGAACCATCGCTAAAATAACAACGCGGTGGGCCGCAGTTTCGGCCTGATCAACCGGCTGTGGTGGGTTGAAGTCAAGGTCGTCGATCCCCTCACATTAGACTTTGGGTAGGACGGTAAAATTTGACTGAGGTCAAGACCCGCGTCCAAAGAGTGGGATTCGATTTTGATTCCTAACTCCTCGGACACCCAACGAGATCCTGGCAATAAAGTCTAGAGTTGGGGGGAAGAGCTATCATTGTCTTCCTTGGTGACCTCCGCAACTGTAGTACAGATCCAGTATGCCTACTTGGGTTTATATGGAATAATCTTCTTGGGGATTGTCATTTTTGAATATATGGGAGAGCCAGGTTAAAATCCTGGCAGTATGGACGCACCAAGGGGGACAGTGAGGGTCTCAAAACCGCAACTTCATCCAGGGGATCGGATTTTGACTACTTGTCGCGTCAGAAGGCCTTTCTTTGCATTTAGATTCCCCAGCGACGGGGATGTCGCTTAATGGGTTCTGGGAAAACTGTCGGAGTTGATACCCTTACAAGGGTATCCGCTCATGATTTCATGGTCGACACAACGTTGGCACCAACAGACAGACTGAAGACGGCTAACAACGGGAAATGAGGCGAAACCCTCGACCGCTATGGTCGAGAAAGTTTTGTCAGCACAAGCGCCAAAACACGGCGCCCACGAACTAGAGTCAGTGGTTAAATTTTTTCGAATGCTCGCCTGCCTTGTCATGGCAAACGCGGAGACGGTAGAGATTAGTGGAATAAACATTTGAATAACCAAGCGCGCCTTGACCCGCGCATAGATTAAAAGAGGGTTAGCTAGACCTCCGACCGCAAAGGTCAGAAGACTAACCTAGCAGAAAGGGTCTCGCAGGAGGGCGACGACGATTCCTCCCCAAGTTTATCGATGGCTAGGAACGTATGTTGACGACGAATGAATTAAGTCAACAGGGCGGCCAGGCTACTTGCCGTGGACTAAGACGTAGGGTGAAATTATTAAAGGACCCAACCATGCGGCTTGGGCAACTGGTAAGGTAGCCAGACTGCCGTAACGGGTTACGACAGCAGCAATAATCTAAGTCTCCCCCTAGGAGAGGTTGTAGGCAATGTAGCAGCCAGAAAGGGGGAGGCCGCATTACACTTATATTGGGAAAAGTTCTTAGTATAACTGAACTAGGAGCTAGCCCAGTAGGTATGAGTATGGACTGAGAAGCCGAAGTCTCGTGGATCAAACCCGCTTGACTTCGGGCTGGCTTTTTTTTTTTGGGCCAAGGGCGGCCCAACCTTTAGTACTGCCCGCCTGGAGGCTGGCGGGGCTCGAACCCGTGACCTCCGCCTTAGGGGTAGTAAGGGGGTTGAAAGTTTAGGCTCCTGACACAGCAGGAGCCCGACAGTTTCGGTTCCAGATCGGGTCCGTTGAAACAGTTGCCTTTTACCATCCAATAGGAATACGGCCTAAGATGATGGCTAGATTCGTCAAGAAGAAGTCAGTAGGCTGTCAAAAGTTATGGGAGCATACATCGGACACAGGGCGCTTGCGAGGTTGGTGGGGCGTTGGGGTGAAACGAACTAACCAACCTTGGAGATGAATGGCCTAGTCTTTGTATACCTACTACTATCACGATTAGATTCACATATTGCTTAGATATTACTATTATTATTATTATTATTATTATTATTATTATATATTATTATTATCATTATTATTATTGCCTACCTAACGAGAAAACAAGGACTGAACTTGCCCCGATTAGGAGGACGGGCTCTTCGGCTTAGGAGAACTAACAAGGAACGACCAAAGCATATGGACGCACGCAGAAGCAGAATCGAGACCCGCACGGACGAGCAGCACACGACAGTGAATTGGTATGCGAGCAGGTCAGCGCACAGGAAATCGAAAAAAGGAAGAGGGGAAGAAGACAGAAACGCAAGCCGCGGACGAACGCGAATACGGTTGCAAGCGCTATCAGGAATACAAGTGTGCGAGCGAGCAACGCATGCGAGCGGACGAATGCGCGAAAGTGCAATCAAGCACGAAGGGGGGAAGTGCGTACGAACAAGAGGAGTAGTTGAAGGAGAGAGGAAGAAGGAAGAGAAGGGGAAGGAGCAGAGAAGAGGAGTCATGCGAAGAAGGATAGAGGAAGAGATTTGGAAGGAGGGGGGGAAAAAGAGAGCACCTACCGGATCGTGTGGGCAGTCCATTGTAGAGACGACTACGGTAGCTGAGACGACGGCTCGACGACAACGGTAACAGCAACGGGGAGCGGGAGAAAGAACGAGTAAGTCTCGTTTCCTCAGAACCGATCCCGGTGTTTTCATCAATAGGATGACCAAATAAATAAATAAATAAGCAAACAAATAAATAAATAAGTGAATAAATAAATACGTAGAAGTTGAATAAATATATCCCTGCAACGTGGGGATATACACTACCACATTTGTACTACATACGTGTGTGTGTGTGTTTGAAAAGAGAGACGGAGTTCTTCTTCTTCCTCTTCTAAGTCCTCCATCTCTTCTTCGTCCTCTCCTTATCTGGCTTCTCAGCATCTGCGGACTAACGAGACAATCTGTGATATAGAGAGAGAGAAAGAGAGAGAGGGAGAGAGTAGGCAGAGACCAGAAGTACTTGCCCGCAGTACCGATACTCCAGCATGTCTCCGAGATATCCGCAGCACAGCGCCGACAACACGGGTTAGTATCTGGCATGTAGTAGGAAGAGGGAGTTCTTTTTTTTTTTCAGTTCGCCATCTCTTTCTCTCCCTCTCGTCATCTTGGTTTACCGCATCTGCAGACTAAGAGAGAGGGAGAGGGAGAGATTGCATATGCATCAACAAACAGGTAAGTCTCCAACCCCAAGGCTGACCTCACGGTGCTAGGATCGATAGACGAGCAAAATTGAATAAATCTTCCGCCGGGACATAGGATTGTACCTACTACATGTAAGTGTGTGTGTGTGATCGGGGCTTGGCCACACGCTCTTGCCATCGATAGGATGAGAAGAATCGATTGAAACTTCTGCTACTACGTCGAAGGATTCACTACTTTACATGTGTGTGTGTGTGGTAGCAGTCTGGCGTCACGGAGCTCCATCGAAAGGATGGGCCAAAATCGATCGAA